TTCTGTATACGCGCACTGGCCACAAATGTGTGGACAAACAAACAAACAAACAAACAAACAAACAAACAAATGCGTTGGAGGAAGAAAGGTAATACCAACAGTGCGTACAAAAAACTTTGTTTAATTTGTTGTGATGATAGCATATATTTTGTCGCAGAAAAAGTGTCCACTACCGATAAATAAGAATATTAGAAAAAAAAAGAATCAAGATGGAGAGGTATAAAAAAGAGAGTTGTAGCACGCATGCACGAAGTATAGAGAGTCGTCGCAATTAGGAGCAAAGAGTGACTGTAGATGCCATTTGCATGTCTCGGGGAAGAGAGGGGGGGGGGGGGGGGGGGATTGTTGTGTTTATGTCGTTTGCTTTGATGAGCAGCTAAAAATATAGACACCCTCAAGCAAAGCGGATAACGACCACCCATTTCGGGGCCTAAATCTGCGCAGGAAATGGGTCCGCACGCAAAAGACAGGTTTTTAGCCGCCGAACTCGAGCATCGAACCTCCCGAAAGAAACGACCTCCTCGAAGTCGCGTCAAAGATGCCCGCTGCGTGTTGTGCTCTAAGAGCCAGGAAACTGTCTCAGAAGGCCAGTGTACTTTCCGGCCAGCAGAGGCACTCGGGGGTCTCCCGAGTCGCTTGGTCGGAGAACGGCTCCCGGCGGCCGTCCTCTCTTGTACGCGAGGCTACCCCCGCCGAGATAATGCCGGGTCACGGCATAAACAGCCGTCTGTGTGTTGCGCGCCCTTGATCAGGTTCTCGGAAATCGAAGCTTCTCTGCCGAAAAAAAGATTCTTTTCATGGGCGGAGAAGGGCATTGGACAGCGATATCCGCGGTACTATGAAGCCTGAGTGCTTTTTGAATGCAGCGAGGGATCATCCGCGAGTTGACTTGCCCGAATTCCGAGAAACTAGCGCACTATAGACCAGTGTTCGACATCCTAGCCCTCAGCGGTAAAAAAATGTGATATAATAATCTTAAACGCAGGCTTAATTGTGAAGAGAGGGGCTGCGCATAAAACATTTTTTTTTTATAGCACTCTTGGCATCGGTGTTATTCTTGGAGCTTCGTGACTATGCATTTTTACGTCCTTGAACAACGATATGTGCGTAGGTGTCTATAAAAAATGGAGTCTAGCAAAAAGCGCAGCCCTCTACTGTGTCGTGGCCTCAGGAAAAGCCAACATATCGGCACCCATAAATAGAGTGCCTTCATACACACGCGCTTTTGCTTGAGTGGTGACATCTCAGCCATTTTTCCGCTCAATTGTTTTTTTCATGCCTTTTGAAGTGCGCGCAATCCGGTGTCACTCAGCTCGAGCGCGTAGCTTTGGCTAATGCATAGACGGCATTTTACCGCCCAAGTCATGCACCGAGTGCGCGAGAGCGTCACGGGCTGGCACATTCAGTGCAACAATGGATGTCTTCACCCTGAGACAGACAGACATGCAGGCACCCTACCCATAAATGAAAAATTGCGCCGTCTCGCGGTCGATATAAAAATGCTGCAAAATGGGGGTCAAAAAAAAAAAAAAGAAAGAAAATTATAAAGATGGCAAGTTTATCAATCGTATACAATCTCTTGTAAGTGAGTATTATATCAGTTATAGGGACCTGCCATCTCGCTGATGTTTCTTTTTTGCGCACGTCATTTTGCAGGGCTTTCAAGTCGACCGTGAGAGGAAGTAATTTTTCTTAAGGAGTCTATAATAAGGGAAGCTTAAAATGCGCAAGGCGTGGTGCATTCCGAGTGTCTCATTATCGCCCCTGAGCCGATGAGATTTCTGCCTGAGCCGATAAGAACGAGTCACGAAGCTAGCAGCATGATTATATTAGAGGAACCATAAAATAATTTTTGTTTAACTTCTTCCTCCTTGGCTTTCCTCCTCAACTTGAAAGCGAAAAAAGAAAAAAGAAGAAAGAGAAATCACGTGGTGGTGACGTGCGTTTGATTGGATGCGATGACTCCAAGCTTTCACCGTGCGTTTGAAGCACACCGTGGAACTTGTCATTTCCCGTTCGTGGCCAATGCGTGCCGTGACGTCACGCTACTCGTTGGCCACGAACCGGAAGCCAAACATTCGTCGACGCTTTGAATTGTTAACGAGTGACACAGTGCTCGCTAACAGTACGCAAACTGGGTTCGACTGACGTGCTTGAGCGCACCTCGGAGGCAGCGCAGTGAAGAGGCGGAGAGCTTTCGAAGGAAAGGAGGTAAGGAAAAGAAGTCCGCTATATTTTACCATTTTCGTACCAAAAAACAGGCTCTTGTCTTTCCACCCTAGTGTACTAGTCTTCTTTGACCCAACAAACGAACTGTGATTAGTAAAATTTCAATCGAAAATAATTTATCCCAGCCCGGAATTCGTTTTACGGTCACTGTAAGTCACTCCCTGTCTTTCTTAAGACGTCGCGGTGACTATGCGGAAATCAAGTCGTCTGCTTCTTTTGCAGGGGCTGTGGTGACGTCAGAAAGAAGTCGAGCTCTGATTGGCTCTGATCCAAGGATAGTGGGTAGACCTCAAAGCAAACTGCCTCGAGGCCTACCCACTGTCTTTCATTCAGAACCAATCAGAACTCCGCATTCTGACGTCACCACAACCCCTGCGAAAGAAGCAGACGAACTTGCGGTCCGCATACATTCGTAAAATAACTTGCGCGCTTTCATGGTTGCGTGCAAAGTTGCCCGCAACGTCGCTCTATGCGGCCTAAAAATGTTGCGTTGAAAACGTTCAGCGTAGGAGTACACTGCGTAAACCAACTATCGTCGTTCTTGGTCTCGCCGACCCGATACAATCCAGTTAAAACCAAATTTGATTTGACATCAAACATTACGAGATATTGGGAGCGTAATCAAAAACGTCTTGGCTGGATCTGTACACCGTTGCAAATTTACAGATTTGTTTGGCACAATTCTAATCATATGTGTGTCCCACAAGATATAACATGCTCTACAAGAACTGGAAACACTACAAAGCTCAATGTCATATAGGAGACACAATGTAGACTCATAGCAACAGCAGCGATGACGTACAAAATGCAAAAAAGGAGTGGTGATGTCTTTCTAGCACCATGTTAGAAAGACATCACCACTCTTTTTTCTTTCATCGCAAATTTTTCATGAAAAAATTTGTTAAATTTAACTAGGAAAAAAACTGCATCAATAGTGACAGACGGGCCAGTTGGTACATGATCTCTTTTGACAAAATGCGCCGCAAGACAGAGACAGAGTAAGCGCTTCGTGTTGTCACCCTTACTTGGTCTGTCTTGCGGCAGATTTTGTCGAATGAGATAACTAGGAAAGCTTGATGCCGTGCAAAAGATTTTACATGTACTCGAGATTCTTTCAATAATTCCCGTACTAAACACCATATAATTAGTATGGCTTGCCATCCTGTTTGTTTTTTCACGTTGTATTTGCATTAATGTTGGGAGAGGTGAGGGGAAACCTTGGCGCAGCGGAACACAGGGATCCTTAGGGTGACCATATTCCTCAATGTAGAAAACGTGACATCCCAGCGAAGGAGGGAGGGGGGGGGGGGGGGGGGCATTTTAAAGATTGAGATATGAAGGAAAACTTTAATGAAATAACTGCTCTCATTTCAAAACTTTGCAAATTTCACTAAGCCCTAGGGCCCAGGGAAACAGTCCCGCTCACGGTTCAGTTGCATGCACTCATTTGGAAGGTCCTGCTTCGGGTGCTTCGTTTGTGCGGGCGTATTTTGCCGACGATTGAAGTTTCCTAGGCGAGACTTTATTCTGCGAGACTCGGCAGTAAAAGTCTGCGCACTTATATAGAAAAAAAAAAGAAAAAGAATCCCGTCCCGAAAACGGGACATGATTCTCTATTGGGACAAAAAGACGGGACGGCAGAGGCGGCCCTCAAAAACGGGATTGTCCCAGCCAAAGCGGGACGTCTGGTCACCCTAGGAATCCTGGATTCAATCCCGAGTGCCGCCTGTTCCTACCTGGATGGACATTATACAGGCGCTCGATCGTGTGGCACTACTGCATGAAGCACGTTAAAGACCTCAGGCGAGGTGTGGTACTGCACTGGCTAAATTTATGATATATAGCAACGCCCCCAGACACCCACTGGCGCTGAACAACTTAACGCGGCTTTGTTGTAAGGAAACGTGCTTCTGTTGAATATCTCACACAGGCAAATAGTAACGCAAAGATTCTATACTCCGAAAACACCTTCAGGAAGTTGACGTTGTCCAGGGTCGATGACCCAGAACCGGGCATATGCAAACGTGGGTTCGTGTCACAGCAGAAACGTCAATCATAGCGGACAACAGCTTTCAAAATCCCATAGCCGGTCCTCCCACGTCTATCGCCGTGCGATTGTCGAGGACGTCCGCTCGAGCGTTGAACCTGTCAGTGGAGAGGTCTCCGCGCGCTGCCGGAAAACTTTAGACAAGTAACGTGAGACTAGCCTCAGTTATTGCGAAATAAGAAAGACTCCTAACAGTGTGTATGTGGTGTTTGCTCTTCGTCAATCACCTGGCTAAGGTGAATCGTCGGGCAATGCTCGTGTTTTCAGATAGTAAAAATTTAGTAGCGTAAACACAGAGGGTGTGGGCGGCTCTTTAGCGTAGTTGGACGCCACTGCCTAGTCCATCTTAAAATCTGACACAAACTGAAAGATGCAGATATCATTCTGTAGATAAAAAAGTAAGGTAATAAAGAAAAAAAAAGAAGAAAAATGAACAGGCCATAGCAAAATTCTTGTATTGTTATAATTCCAAAGAAGACAACATGGACGAACCAAACAGACGAAACAACTCTAACACTTCTATGCCTCATTTGCTAGAATGAGAAGAATTCATGAACGTTAATAACCACTGGAAAACGAAGATAGCAACCAATGCATTTTCGCTTTTGTAAGCTGAACTTGAATAGCGACAAATTTCATCCACGAACAACCTTGGTCATTCTTGACCGGTTAGTGACCGGCAGGAGAGACTAGAATTATGATCGATTAGGGATTAAAGGCTTACCCTAAGCTGTCCACGAGGAGAATCTCATTGCTGTCCACGCCGTCCATCGCCACCAGCTCCCGCACAAAGATCTCGTACGGACCTTCGAGAGAAACAAATTCTGAAGTAAGTCTTCATTCACTAGCCACATCTGCAGAAACCACAGTAAATAAAACGAGGCAAAAAGAACACAAAGACAAGTAGAATGCAAACATAAACAAAGCACTTGCGTTCTTTCCACATGACCTTGTGTCTTTTTCTTTCTTTTTTTGCCGCTTTAATTGTTTTTATTGTGCACCGATTCACGTTGTCGGTTACTATGCTGATGTTTATAGAGCGGGCAGCTCATCTGCCTTCAGATGGAGTTGCATACCTCCAACTTAGAGGAGACCTTTTGTCAGTGCAGGCAGTTAACTATCGGCCACTGAACCCCCCCCCCCCCCCCCCCCCTTTTCCCTCCCGCCAACAAACACGCACACATCTCAAGAGATGTTAGACAGATCGTAAATCAAAATACACCTTAAGCACGCCCACCCACTTGCTCTCTTGGCAAATCGAAACAGTTAGTACCCAGCGCATCTAAATCAACCTCTATTTCATCTTAGCGTACGTACACGTACTCGTAATGGTCATCTTGGCACGATTGGGGGCAATTAGGGCGATGTCGAAATCCGCAAGATTCTCTTGAGAACGAGAAGAGAGAAAAAAGAAACAAGGGCAGACAGATACGAATGCAAGGGGACACTCCTAAGTTGTTAGGGAACTTGTTCCGTGCTCCATTATGGGATCGGCAATCGATTGGAAGACGGCGGATGTAATCTCAGCGCTCTTCTCTTTCACGAGGAAGTGACCTTTGCTCCGGACCGAACATCGAGAGGCTATATGATGAAGAGCCCAGATAACCAGACTGCCGCTCGCATTCATCATTCGTCCCCGAGGTGATGTCGCAACACGAAAACAAAGATGAATAGAGTAGACTACTTTGAGGGGAGGGGGGGGGGGGGGCGATAAAACAGGCTAAACAACAAGCCCCATGATGAAGCGCAGGCATTTCTTTAATGACCTGTATGTAATATATCTCTATCTATATGTCACTAAATGGACATGCCAGTGGCAACATTGTAAAATAGAGAATATTACTATAACTATTTCAGAGAGTTATAAAATGATTTGTTTGTTGAGCCACATCGTGTTGCGGGATCGATGCACATATATTCGGCTCGACTTAAAGCTGAAGGTTCGCTTGGGGCATATATATATATATATATATATATATATATATATATATATATATATATATATATATATATATATATATGACATTACATTTCTATTCACTTGGCGGACACTAAAAGACTACTCTTTTGATTGCAGTGAACACGCCAGTCGCAGATGCATTCCAGACACCATAGCCGTTAGAAGCTAAACTGCTTGGCTGCCACCTTGCGGGTGTCAGAAGAGTGCTACTCTAAAGTGCAGAAGCTTTTTCAAAATGAGTGTATGTTATTTCGAGTTTACCGTTGATAAGTTCAGTCTATTAGCCCTGAAGAGTCGAGTTAAAATGATTACCTCACCCGAATGTGTGTCTAAGCTGACGTGCTATTCGCGAGTCTTCGGAACGATGGTGTCACGGTGTGACAATCACAATCCCTAAATCGTTGATGGTTTACTCAAAAATACGGACGGCGATTCATATTTTTGTTCTATCACTCATAGATTACGAAATTCACGTCACTGAAGCGTTCTAAAGTTAACTATGTGCTTCTATTATAAGGCGATAATCGAAATGCCCCTCATATTGTTTGTTGGCTGGAACTCGCGTATACTACGTTGCATGCAGCCAGGAACAAGCTTGGAAAAGGTACGGCATCCGGATACGAAGGTCCGTGGACATGCAGTAATACGGTTACCCATGTTGATTCTGACAAGAACCTTTCGACTAACTTACGTCCCAAACTTTGAAGATCACAGTGTGAACCCAATAAAACTTTTTATTAGCACTATGCAAAGTATGATGCTGGGCAATTGCAATGATTTTGATCATATGTAACTTACGTTGCAAAATTACAATACACGGCGCGCACTCGACGTAAATCTACAGTGCGGCTTCGGAGACATAACCGCCTGTTGGGAAGGATATCGAACTATAGGGGGCGCTTTATCGAGCTTGTTGTCCCCACTGCCCGGTGTTTACCAACACAGCATAACAAAGAAATTGAACCTCGCCTAGACCCAACGTTACTAAATCAGCTCAGTTGACAAGCTCCGCATTAGCCGCGCTTCGGAAAGCCGGCCCCCTCCAGTCGCGAGAGCGTGGTGGCGCTGTCGTCGCAGCCCGCCCGGTCCGCAAGACCGGCCAAGCTCTGGGCAAGCTCGGGACGCTGGCTTTACATTGCGAAATCAGGCGGTCGGCGGAACGTCGGTGGCCTTTGTGAACTTATTAACAAATGGACTCTGCAAGTAGATTCTGCTGCAGTCACGAGCGTAATTATGTGCGCTAATGATTTCTTCGATTTTTACTCTATAATTCATTGGATAGCAGCATGGCGCCTAGCTTCGGGCCTGGCTCCCGAGTGCGATTCTATGTTCGTGTAATATCAAAGTACACCGGGATTTATGTCATAGTTGATGTCCCTCCATATTCGTCTATGACCAGCATCCACAAGCAGGGGCTTGCGTGCGCTGCTCGATAAACGCTCCCACTTGTCACAAGAAAACGAACAAAATACGCTTTCTGCCTTTCAATTGTTACCCCAACAAATCTTCGGCAAGGCTAAATTTGCAGATGAATACTGCGCAACGTTTATTTCTTTTTGCATGAAAAACAATCGCAGCGCAATGCAAAACATCAGGACTGAAGATACCTGTAGTTTGCGATCACAGAACCCGAGCTTTCTTGTTTGCTACTGCCACCGTCTCCGTCACCTCTCGATTGATGTATCTCGCGTAAAAGAGCACTTGCGTTACAACGAAGAGGGATTGTATAGTTTTCGAAAGTGGTATTTGCAGTCCCGCCTTTCTATGTCGCGTTTTCAGGGTAGCTAAACTGTCTTTATTTTGGCTTGAGATAGATCGCAGAAACGCCATGAGATCAACAACATGACCATTTATGGACAACTGCAACTTTAAGAAAATAGTAGTTAAAGTGAATGTAAATAAATTCGCGCTTATAAACATGCCAACAAGCATGTTGATGTCAGGCACATGGAGCATGCATACACATTACACAAATGACCTCGTTTCACATAGTCAACGAGGGTGTCTCACAATTCGTGCACTGTTACCGCGAAGCTGTAGCAGGTACTGTAAAATAACTGTTCTAATATCTACCGCACGTTCATACGTAAATCTCCAAATATACTCACACGAACTCCCGCTGATCAGCTGATCGGAATTGATGTCTCGAAATTCTTACCCGTGAGTCACACGTCTCCGAAATGGCACGTATACGCAAGGGAGCGAGGTTGTCACACACGTAAAGAACACACACGAATAATAACTCAGTTGTTTTTACCAGTAGAAGACCTCGACGTAGCCGAATACAAATACAAAAACAGCCCGATTTTTTCGAATGACCAAGACGTCTTCTTTAAATTGACATTCTTTCCTAATGCGGCTTTGGTATGTATCCAATAGCTTACGCCTGAACTTCAGACACAAACAGAGAACACCAGAAAAGGGAAGCTCACGGTATTTTAGTCCGCAAACGACCAAAACACAACGGTTCATGTGCCGGGAACCACGAACGATAAACGCAGCCATTTCTCCGAGTTTCTTGCCTTGGTGCCGAATGTCGGAAAACTGCCAAAACTAAGAAGGCCCAACGGGTGTCAATTTCCCTAAAAAGTCCCAGAAAATGTCGTCTCAATCCGGACATTATCACACTAGCAACAGTCCTTAGTAATACACTTTGTGAACCCACACAAAAACGATGTTTCACGGCGTATCCACGAGTACCGAGGCCAGTCAGACCGAACGGGTCGGGCGGGCTTGGACAAGAGCGCCGCTACGCGGCAGTGAACGGCAGCGCGTCACTTTTTTTTCGGAGCTTGTCAACTTCTCCGATCCAGTAACGTTGCCTAGACCGGTCTGGGCACGAGCGCTTCGCTCTGTCCAGTGCTTTGGTCGCGCGAGGAGCGGCCTTCGAATCATCATCTTCGACTTCTCCCGTCAAAAACAAACAAGAAAATATGGTTTGCTGTCCCCACAGCTGAAGCGTACCGCTAGAGGCGTGACCTGTTCGATCTCCTCTCCAATATGAAAACATCCGTGGGCAATGGACACAGCACTATCGTTTCGCACATCGCCAAAGCCTGTGATATGAAATACTGGACTTGATCGGGGACAAACGGACATTCGATTTACGAACCAGGTGTACCACCAGTAGACCATATGGTAGGCATTATAATGAGAATATTCAAAATCCAGACGCTTTTCACGTCCTTTCTTAGAACGTCTCGTCTTCTGTAACATCTTAGCATCGAACCTGAGAAAAGAGCCCTTCAGGCACTGGGAAACTGCACCGCAGACAGACAAGCCACGCTTTTGCAGTTGAAAGGATGCGGGAGCTGTTCCGATAACAGTACGAACATCCAGCCTCCGTAACGCAAACTCACGAGGCTCAAAGTGTTCGCCCTCAGCTTCAGGAAGTGGCTCGTCCATCAGACGGTGGTGCGCTCACTGCCAGACTATAACTGCCGTCGTAAGTTGATGGGGCGGTGTCGGGACAAACTTCACGCCGTCTACACTGACACTGACCCCATGGATCATCATTAAAGCCAGTCTCGTTAGGCAAACGGTGCATCGTTTTCGAGCCTCTTGTTCCGACGGCCCCTCCCAGGAACGAAAGCGGTCGATTGATGCGAGAAGGACGTTCACCCGAAACCATCACATTTGCTCGGGAGATACTGCGCCCTACGCTAGGGGCGTGACCACGGAATTTTTAACCAGCTCGATGGCTGATGTGCACGAAGAGAAAGAAGCCGTGTTATCTCTTCATCGAAGCTCCGTCCATCACGAACTCTAGTGGATGGCTTCTAGATGTGCGAGCTGAGCTCCTGATCGTTGCAGATTTTGGATGATGCAGCGGCATTGTGAAAGTATCGCAGAGGCTATAAACGAGGAAGCTGAAAAAAAAACAGCCTGGGGGAGGTCCCACGAAATACGTACTGTTGCTGTCGACAATCTCGAAGCGTAGCGCCAGTGGATCTCCAACCTCCGCTGTGAACACGTCTTCTCCGAAACGGTCTGTGATCCTCATGGTGACGTTGGGGGAGCTCACTGTTGCTAGCTGACTCTGAGATGTCTCCACTTCGCGACTGAAAAGAGACAGAGACATACGAGAAAAATATGAAACAAATAATCACTGCTCTCGGATAGGCAGATAGGGAGCTTTGATAGACAGGCAATAAGACACTGGCTTTTACAGTTAACCTGTGGCGTTTGGCATCGGTGTCTGGCTTCCGAAATGTATAAGGGATTAGTACGTCCATTTTCGTTCTTCAGCGGTTTGAAATGTGTCCTAGAAAGACACTAAGCGATTAACCACGAGACATCGTCTTACTACTTCGCATGTTAACATAACATATACCTCCCGACGGCCTAGGTGGCATGTATCTTGTCAACGACAAAGAATGCAATCTTAAAACATTAAATTAGCATTTTTCTACGAACTTCCGGCAATCGCAAGCCAATTTCAAGTTCCGCGCATTGCTTCTCAGCTTCTCTTTCTCGGCCCACCTCCCGACACCTTGTTGAACTCTAGACCTCCTGCACTATGTTTACCCGACCGCCGCACTTAGAACAACCTCACACACATACCAACGACAAGACAAGAAACAAAGCCGCACGCTTCATTGTCGCCGGTCCAAACACGCGCCGAGCAACGAACCAAGCCAAATTCCTTTCATGCAACCTTCATTCAAACACGCCGCTGAGTTCGTTAAGCCCTCTTCCGGGCCGACACAACTCAGACGGGCCGCGACCCGAAGAATGCACAAGAACAGCGAAGCAAAGAAAACAGCCCTCCCCTTATTTACCGAGAGACACACACACGCAGACATAACGACCTCCTCCCAGAGAGCGAACGCGGCGAAGACATTGACCTCTCGCGATCAAACCGCCGGGCACATCCGTCATCGTCTGTCAACGTCCTCGAAGCCGTCTCGTCCACGTCGATGACGTCTCCCACGAGGCCCCCCGTGCAAAACGCTCCGTGAAAGACTTTTACCGGCAAGCGGAAGCAAGCCGGAGGTCAACCTCGGCAACGCCGTCGACCGTGACGAGACGCTTCGGAGGTGCTCAGAAGTGGAGACACTTTGCGAAGAGGCGGAAGGCGACAGACCCGTTTTATAACCTCGCCGCGCTTCGTATGTTTCGCTGGAGAACGAGCGTAAACTGAACGGAAACTCTGGACGTTTGCAAGTACGGCCTCTGGACGCCGCCATCTTGGTCTTGGAATGTGTAGATCGTCTTGTGATCAAGTCTTGAGAAGGCGTACCATTTGCTGCCAGACTGGCGTCCAAACAGAGCATTTTCTGTTCACGGTGGTACGACTATGTCGTGAAGCGTGGCCGCTTGCAAACACCTATACATTGGGGGACGGGACAGGACCTTGTGTATAGTGTCTTTCAATTGAGCTTTCTGTGCACCGCGAGCGTGCTCATTCGAAGTCACTTCGATTTGCCTTTTTCATGACCTCTCCATTTTGCTCTGTGGTGTCCTCTATTCCAGTCGTGCCAAGCCGTCCACTCTTCTTATCGTTAGTGCACGTGTACTAGGAGGTACAGAGGCTTTGTCTGTTTTAGCAAGTTCCCAGGCATCTTGAGAGTCGATGTGCAGTACTAATGAAAAACAGCGGGACTTTTTTTTCTTTTTTTTTTTGTAGCCTCAGCTAAACAAGCTGCAGGAATACAGGGTAATGCACTACAGTGAGTTCACCTTAACTTTACTTCTGTGTGACCATTTTATACGGACACACAAAGCAGAACATGGAACATCATCAGAACCGCTGAAGGTGTTGCATGCCGTCTAGTAAGAAACGTCAGTAATGGTGCAGTAATAAGATTCAATGCCATAGTTTCTGGGGCTGATCCTACTATGACACTCCTTGTACAAGCAGTGTTCATTGCGCAGATAAGTTTAAGGCGTCTGTTTGTAAGCAGGGTAATCTTTCCTTTAAAATGTTTCTATAGTGCCCTGTGTATACACAGAAATTTCGGTGCCATGTTGTCATGTTTGAGAGTGAGCAGAAATAAATATCAAACTCTTATAATATCAGCTGCTCAATATTGCACCGATCTGAACCCATCCATCTTACAAGCGCATACCGTACCACCAGGCACAAGGCGAGATCTGATCGATGCTTCCATTTTACGATCCTATTCAAAGCATGAAAAGGAACACGACATCTGCAAAGAACGACTTGTTGATGCGGCACCACGCTCGTCGAATCGCAACAAGGCGCGGGGAGGACGGGGAAGATCAACTTTTCTGCACATGCAACAGTGCGTGATATCGCGTTACGCGCCGACCACTTCACACCCGGTCTCACGCCACTGCAGCACGTCGTAACATTCCTTCTTCGACCCTCGCCACAACAACCTGCCGGGCAGTCACGGGGAAAAAAATGCTTCCCTTACGAGGCACCTCCTCACGCAACGCCCCCTATGTCCGGATAGTAGCACCATCGATGAGAACACCCACGCATCCGTTTCCGACGGCGATCGCGACGGTCACTTAATGAAACCTAAATATACAAATTCGTGAAAGAAAATAGCTCGGTTCTGCCCCTGCCATCTGCTGGAGAACGCGGTGGGGGAGACCGTTGTTGATTTTCAATGCGAGATTTTTCGGATATCTTCCCGTTGTTCCGTTCCTGTTGTTGTCGGACTTCCTCGTTTTTGTGTCCCCTGGCATTCTGTGGACGTGGAACGATTGTTTGCCGCCTCCTCACCCTCGCTTCAGAAGGAGTCAACGAGCCACCGACTGGCGCGGCCGGAGTGGCGTAGGACGACTCATTTTTTTTGTTTGTTTGTTTTGTTTTGGTGTTTTCCGTCATTTTTTTTTTTTCGGCAGACATTTGACGATATAAAAAGGCGCAGACGCTTTCTCTCTCTCGTTGGAACTCTTTCCTTCTTTTTTTTATGTCACGTTTTTAGGCGAAGCGTAAAATACGCACGCACGCACCACTGTTGCAAGACAGGTGTGCTGCTGTCGTGACAACGCTGCGTGGGGTGCGCGTACGGGTGTCATTAGCTGCTATCATTAGAAATTTTCTTTCGTGTTATTAGGTGTTTTCATTTTCTCTGTGTTCCGATAACGCAACCGAATACTGCGCAGATAATATCGCGCATGCGCGAAATTATCGAGTGTTTCGGGCAAATGACTTTACGGTAGTGTAGTTTTGCGATACTAAGATGCTTTAGTAGATCGCTCTGATGGCTTCCATAACAAAACCCGACATTCCTCTGAGTGTCGGGTATCGGAGCGGGTACCGTTAGATACGATACGATCATATGCGCAAAGGCGTCGGCGGAGTGTCGGGTATTGTTATCGGAGGTACCGGAATGATTCGTTGAAACTCCTTCGTAAGAAGTTGTAGTACTGTCGAGATCGGTTATAACAAAGTCAACGGGAATCGGAAATCAGTTCGTTATATCCGCTATTTTGTTATAACCGACTTCGGTTATAACGAAGTACAAAAGTAATGGGAAATCGTCATCGCTTCGCTGTAGCCACTATTTCGTTATAACCGACTTCGGATATAACGAAGCTCAAAAGGGAATGGGAAATCGTGATCGCTTCGCTGTAGCCGCTATTTCGTTATAACCAACTTCGGTTGGTTATAACTAGGGTGTGTACTTTCCGGTGTTTATTTGTGAGAAAAATCGGCGGATGTTTTTCGGTGTTTATTTATTTTCAAAACACCGGTGTATTTCGGTAGAACGTCTCACGGCGAGGCTGAAATCGGTGATTATCAGTGAAAAACAAGCGATTGATCACAGACAGAGGGTTCCAATTTTATTCACATAGTTCATACACTTCTTCTCTAGGTAGCAACTATTTCTCACACTTGGTCTAGTAGATGAAAGCATTATAGTATATGCAAGCATACATGCCTTGCGTGTAGATGCTTGCATCTACACGCAAGGAACGTGCTACCGTCATGGCAGCACGTTCCTTGCGGTTCGCAACCCGCAATTATGAAAACGCACGCTCCTGTACGACACGGACGTTGGTAGTGTCTTCCAGGAACCACAGCAACCTCTGAATACATGGCTTGCACCGACATCACTTGGCCAGACACAATGAGGAAAAGGCACGTGAGAGCCTACCCTCCACTGCGTTAATTTTTGCACAAAAGGGGGCCATGGGAGACACAATAGGGGAAAGGCGTATGAAAGCTTAGCTTCCACTGCGTTCACTAGACGCTTTTGACCCCCAGAAAGGAGGGCGGACTGACGCCACCTGCAAGCCATGTGTAAACACTGGAAGAATGCAGGATCCACGAGATAACATGTTTGACGAACCTCTACGGGGAAGGGGTTTCGCTAGGTCGGAAACTAGCAACGAGCGGTGTTTTTCGGTTTTAACCAGGGCAAAAGTATCCAACCACCGGTGTTTTTCGGTTTTAACCGATTTTATATTTTCGTCACCGACGGATGTTTATCGGTGTTTTTCGGTTAAAACCGGAAAATGTACACCCTAGTTATAACGTTAGTCGTTAGCCATTAGTCGCCCGTTGAGACAGTCTAATGGAGGATTCCATGGGTTGTTTTGGAGCGCGCCGGGATCGACTTTTTTTGAGCGCTTATATTTGACTAGGCGATCGGGATCGAGACGGACGTGTTCCTTTCGTCGTTTTGGATCAGCTCCCACTCGAGATCTCGATCCGGATCGGAGAAAAGTCGCTCCGCCGATTTTGGCGGATTCGACCGGAAGCCAACCTGGCCAGACCTCGGCGCGCACACGTGACTTCCTTTCTCGCCGGGCATGTTGTCTTATTGAAGAATTCGTAATGGCCGCTCGCGAAGTGCCACCCGCTCGCTAGCAGCAGCTTGATGACAGCCACTCGCAAAGTGCCACCCGCCCGCTTGTCATCAAGCTGCTGCTTGATGACAGTTCGTCGTCAAGCTGCTCGAGCAACTCTTCCAGCAGCAGCGGCCGAAGTAACAGCGACGACGGGGATTGCTTGTATATGCTCATCATGATTTCAAATGCCTTTTCGGACATCAGCGGAAGAGGCCGAAAATCGAGACGTACCTGGGCACCGTTCACGAGTATTACGATAAAGAGGCAAATGGGCTACACTAATGCACCTGGCTTATCGACACGCATCTTTTACATCATAATTAAGGTCGCTCGTGCGTTGAACACGTGTTGTTAGCACCGCGATTGCGAAAATATGTGCTCCAAGATGCGGGACCGCGGAAGGGGGATTCCCGGGAAGGTGAATGACGGAAGGCATCCACCGATCCCGGAAGAGTGGTCATGTTCCACTGGGGATCAGTAGGCGAAGAGACTCCGTTCCGATCGCGTGCCCCATCTCGGATCTGGTCTAGTGATCCCGGCGCGCTCCAAAACTACCGTGGAATTTGCCAAAAGTTCCGACTGTATAAACATACCCAGAACCCAATTTTTTTTGGATTTGGCTAGCTTGCATAAGTACAGTTTCCTTTCTTCGGCAACGTTTTATGACACACGACGTTTTCTTTAACTGAGTTTATTTAGTTACTAGGCTGGTGAGAATTACGTATAGCTTTTCATTTTATCATTTTTGAAAGTCAAAGCGGTCACCATCAGGGAACATTTAGGTCTATTAGCAGAATCAGTCTTGACAAGGTTTGCTAGAAGAACTTTCTAAATTGTACCGATAACTTTTCCATGTCTTTTTCGGGTGTCGTCGTCGTAGTGCAAAAACGGTCTGTTTCCGGTGCTGGTACTGTGTCCTTATTCCTGGCGCCATCGATTCATGGGATTATAGATGTAACCCTGCGTTTAATTCTCTCCGTTTGTGCTGCTTCAGTGTACTTCAAGAGGCGTTCTTCAGCGGTAAAAAAAAGGAAACATAAAAAAAAAGAAAATCAAACGGTACGGCTAGCGGTTCATAGTTGTACGTACAGTGCGCCCTGACGAATGATACGTGGCTTAAACGTAGACACGGTGTTGAGAAATACACCGGCAAACGGAGATGGATGATGACCCTCCCGCTAAACGTTCCCCCAATCGAGAGGCCACCTGGTGATGCCCTATAGCGGAACTTCTGTCCGCGGAGTCCTCCCAGGGAGGTCTTTGGGACGGTGAAGCAACCCCCCCCCCCCCCCCCCCCTTCTACATAACAAGGCCGTATCGGCTGCATGTTACACGTCATTTAATGGAGGCCGATTGAGGGGCACAGATCGTCAACACGCGCTGCTGCAGCACTCGAGGCCTGTCTGCGCTACGCGACAGGTCTCAAGTGGATGACGTCACCGATTGAGCACTACGGCCTTGTAACCTATAGGAGACGCGCGCGTGAGGAGCGTGAACTCACCCGTCGACCTCCAGTTGGACCCCGTTGGAAACGCTGCGGTTGGTGAGGTCGTACTGGCAGTGGACCGAGAGGCCCAGGTCCTGATTGGTCACGATCATGTCGTGGTGCTGGATCACGATGTCGGTCGAGAACTGGCCCAGGCTCTGCGAGGACAGAAGCTAAAGGGACTCAGCTACAAGAGGAGGCTCGTTGCGTTAAAACCGTCACAGGATCATTAATTTTCGAGAGTTTAATCTGCTCGGGTCGTGACAGGCGTATGAAAGAAGAAACTAAGAAAAACAGATGTCGTGCCTTTTTTGTTTTTTTGTATTTCTCGATGTTTGTCTGTGTGTGCGTGTGTGTTTTTAACGGCCATTTCTTTAATTATTGACGTATTAAACCTTGGAGCGAGGGGAAGGACGGACAAATACAAAACTTGAAACGCAACTAAAATGTTACTGCACCAACACGTGTTTAAATAGGCCCACGACAAAGTTAACCTAATACAAGAAAACAATTTTGTAGAGAGTAGAAACTACCAACATGAAATAACAGTTACTCCCCAGGAAATTTGGTGAAAGATCATAGTGAAGAAAATCTTGAGACTAGAACAAAAAAAAAAAAAAAGAATGGGACACCGTCTCAAAAGGCATTGTCTTGCCCCATTTTTTTGCCCCTAGTTTCAAGGTCTTTTTTTTTCCACTATGAACCGCCTACATGTTTAATGTTTTCACATGCATGAATGTGAGTTTTTTGTTTTCTTTTACTTTTTCAATTTAAAAAAAAATTTTACTTTTTTTATTTGGCTGGATGTCAAGTTCCAGACATCAAAGCTCTTAAAGGGGCGATGCAACAATTTTTGCACTTTGCGCAAATGCCGCTTAGAACGGATCCCTGCCGTTAATGACCTATGAAACACGCGTTCGTTTTTCACCCCATGCCCCAATAGAAGTCCCAGAAAAAATTAAAGAAAAACGAGCAGCGTTCACCCCCTCAACTCACAGCCAGAACAAGCGGCCACGTGATGTGGAGCCGATTATATGCCGCCAATGTTGATCATAGCCACGCGCTTGATTTGGCAAAGCACAGGACACGCGCTGAGTTCCAGACATTGTTATGGCTCGGCTATTGTCGTCGTTGCAGCGACTGGACACGGGCCACTACCCGAATGCTTTTCGAGCTAGCAATCATCGCGAGCCTAAATCGAGTGCCCACGCAATGCGCGGGTTCAATCTATGAACCGCATTCGAATAACGTCCTTGGGGTGTACTGCGATCCCCACGTTATGTCATCAAATTTTGCAAAGGAGAGATTGAATGAAAATGATAGGTTTTGTGCCTGAAATTTCACCGCAACAAAGGAGTTTCTTGGCCAGTGGCGTTGCGTGCGAGTATCCTTAAATCCCACTAGTGCCAGCAAGCTCGTGTAAAGTGAAAGACATTCCAATTGAATATCGTTGCACCGCTCCTTTAACTTAGAGCATTGATAACTGTGAGGCTGTATCTGCGTGCCTGCTCACGGATCTGCGTCGATCCGTGTGTGTGTGCGCGTTTGGGGGGAAGAGCAGTATTGCCTTATAGTCTAACAAAGACGAAAAAGTAAATTATAAAAAAAACAACAAAAAAAAAAAAAAACGTCATAACTGTAATTGAAGGGCAGAGGTTATCCAGCCATAGTATGGTTACTTGCATTATGATGACAGACGAGCATGGCGGTAACAGACCCCAAGCGTTGTTATAATTATAATCAGTATGTAGTTAAAGTCCAACAATAGTTTCCAGGTACACTCGTAACAATGCTGTAAAGAAGATTTTTTTTTTTCAATAACTCAATGCACCGCAGTATTTTTCTTTACTGGCCATCCAAGGCAAGGAAGAACCTGCAAGAATGTGCGCTGCTCCGAGACGGAAATCAGCCAAGGGTGCCGTGCATCTCTGCAGCCTGCGGCAGTGCAGGCTCCACCGCATTCGAAAGGTTGCTCCCACGACCGTGCCATTCAAATCAAAGAGCGTATCCCGCAAAGCGTGGAAGGACTCCCCCTCACGCCGGAACTGCCGCTTCCTCCGAGAGACGAACACGGAACCTCCACTGCCGCGGTGCACGGAATCACTTCTCACGCTGTCAGAGTGGAGAAGCGACCGTCTGTGTGCGAGAAAGTAGGGTTTGCGGCGTATACACGTCTACAAGCAGCCACGCTTCAAAAGCTAGTCGGGCCACCATTGGTGGAAATCGCCACGTTGGGGGCCCTGCAGTATACGAGGGGGGACCCAAAAGAAACCGAACTAAATTGTTTTGCACTTATTTATTCCCATTTCAAGTACAAACGTTCAATCTCCTTCAAAGTACTGTCCACTTGCACTAATACACTTGTCTAATCTCTTAATCCATGTGTTGAAACATTGTTTAAATTCATCTTTTGTGATGCTTGACAGCGCCTCCGTCGTTTTTTTTTCTTCACCTCAGCACCGTCAGCAAAACGCCTTCCTTTCATTTCTCTTTTCATTCTAGGAAACAAAAAAAAAGTCGCACGGGGCAAGGTCGGGTGAGTATGGGGGGTGAGGAACAGGGGTCATACCATTTTTGGTCAAGAATTGTCGTACAGACAAGGCAGTGTGAGCCGGGGCATTGTCATGATGGAAAAACCAGTCACCCGACTTCCACAAATCGGGCCGCTTCCGCCGCACACTGTTGCGCAATCTTTTCAAAACCTCCAAGTAGAAAGCCTGGTTAACTGTCTGACCCTGCGGAACAAACTCTGAATGGACGACTCCTTTCACATTGAAAAAACTAATCAGCATTGTTTTGATGTTTGATTTCACCTGACGAGCTTTCTCGGGGCGAGGCGAACCTGAAGTCTTCCGCTGGCTTGATTGTTGCTTTGATTCAGTTTCGTAACCATAGCACCAAGTTTCGTCACCTGTAATAACTTTTGAAAAAAAGTTTGGGTCACTTCGGGACTCTTCTTTCAAAGCACAGCATGCTTCCACGCGACCTTGCTTTTGTTCAGCAGTCAGCAGTCGTGGCACGAATTTGGCAGCCACCCTTTTCATTCCCAAATCTTCTGTCAGAATTCGCTGCAATGAACTCCAACTCACTCCCGACAGCTCCACAATTTTGTCAATGGTCCGTCGTCGATCTTCGTTGATGATTGCACGAATTTTTTCAACGTTTTCATGTGTTCGTGCCGTGGAAGCACGACCGGAACGAGGTTTGTCATCAATTGACATGTCGCCATTCTTGAAACGGGAAAACCACTCACACACTTGAGTTTTCCCCATGGAATCGTCCTTGTACGCCGTTTTTAACAGTTCAATAGTTTCTGTTCCACTTTCTACGAGCAAAAAACAGAATTTAACCACCGCACGCTGTTCACAGATATCAGACATTGCAAAAACGACGCCCACACGAGACACTTGTCACTATAAACCCAGCCGCAACTAGTCCTAACCTTCTTCGAGGACGGAATTAGGCCTATTGACTCAGCAATGTTCGCTCTATCAACTCCTGGCGGCAAAACGCGGTACTGCAAAAGCTCTGCTTAAAAAAGAATTAGTTCGGTTTCTTTTGGGTCCCCCCTCGTATGGCAACCGTAGGAACGCCAAGGCCATAGTGCCTGGAACGCGCCTATGACCGGTGTGTCTAGCGCGTTCTAAGAAGTGGTCCCTCGACTAACGCCTCATCACGTCAGAGATGCCTCGCTGTCGCGTATGCCGCCCTTAGCGCAGCATATTCCCCCCGTGATGAAGTTGCGAAGTAAGAATGAGCTGGGATGACCTTGAAGAGCTGAGGCTGAAAATTCAGGACGTATAATTGTGAGAGATTAGTGGAAAAATGGGAGTTTCATGATGATGAGTGCGTTTACTGAGCCTGGAAAGGTGACATTGACGAGAAAACGTTTCTGAAACATGAGGCGAAATCCGCACGGAGCTGAATCTACCTTTTTTTACTGCGAGGGCAGTCAAATGGAAGATTGAGTGCGTTCTGAAAAGAGCCGTGATGCCAACATCACGTGCGCTGCGCTTTCAGCTACGAAGAAACGCAAATTTACACCCTAGCGTGCTGAAATGAAATACTTGACTACTTCCTTAGCTAGAAATTGTGATTGGAGAGCATTTGTTAAGCTCACTGCCTCCGCGAGGGGAATATTTGCGGCTGCAGGGGTGGTTGGTCACAAGAGCTGTCAGTCATCGAGCCCAAGGTAACTGAAACAATATTTTCCAATGACGTCCCGTTATTTCCGCCATACTCTTACTGATTAATGACCAAACTCACAGCATATACGGCTCCGCGTGCGACAAGAGAGTAGCGCCACGGTGCGGCTCCTAGACGAAGCATTTCGAACAGCCCACGGCCGTACTGGCGTTGGCATCCAATGTAGCAGTCAACCTTGCTTTACAGTTAATGTCAGCTTACTTGAGCACAGCGCTGTACAGCGTACAAGTTCGTCTTCTTGCGCACCTCGTGTGTTTGTTTACTTGTTTACCACCCAAATGGCTCCCCCCCCCCCCCCCCCCCCTTCTTTTTGTTTCCCTTCATCAACCAGTTATTGCGAGGGCGGCGGGTTCGCTATGTTGTCCTTTGATTGGCGTGCTTCTCCTCGCGTTCCGGTGCACTGAAGGCCCATGTTGGAACACTCGCACACCGTAGAGTGGGTTTTCATTGACGTCATTATCGCTACCGTCTTGCTGTTATGAGTTACCTCTATAGCGCATGCCGAAGGCGAGCGTTCGAAAGATTCATTTGACACCATCAAATACGCAGTGCACTCAGGCATATATGCGGAGAGCAAGTCGTCTGCTTCGTGCGCAGGAGTTGCAGTGACGTCAGAACGACGCCTAGCTTTTGCGGGGGTTCTGTCGACGTCAGGAGTCCGACCTCTGATTGGCTCAGTTTGAAGCATAGCGGGTAGACCTCGAGGCAGCTTTCCTTGAGGTATACAGCACTCGCGCTAGAAATGCATGTCTCAAAGCCAGGAGCGCGGGCTATAGCTCGCGCTTGAAGAACGGAGCTCTCGACTTGCCAAACTCAAAGTTAGGTCCCACGTTTACGAAGCGCGTCAATTGGACTCTCGCGACGATGACGCCGCACTTTTGTTACCGAAGTCCAGTCGGAACGCTCCTTGAACTTTCGGCTGCAACTGTTCGACGAGCCTATACACGGATTG